GACGATATATTAGAGCGAAGTTAACGGCGTGTGGCGCAGTAAAATTTGGGTAGCAGAGAAAAGAGAAAAAGATCGTCCATAACAGAGTTGAATGTTTGTAATCCATGACCATGCCTCACTGACAGCTGATATTTCTCCTGCATCTTTGTCTAATAAAGCAAATACAGGCTTAAGTCCTTCACGTCTAAGGCTCGAAAAAAACTTTCGTAGTACTGCAACTCGAGTTTGAGTCTCATTTTCAGGATTTAATCGAGCTTCTTCAGTGCCATCGTAAGTACAAAGATACAAGTATGCAATAGGCATACCATAGCCTCCACAATTAGCATTTACTACAAACAGTTCGAATCGTTCTTGGTTTGTTTTAAATGTGGAATCAATAATAACTTCTGTTACATCTTCAGCACCAATAATTCCAAACAAAGGCATAATAAATCTGAAGGCCCGTACGAAATCGTTTTCTATGTAATCAAGTGGTTTGAAGCCTTTTTCAGAAAACATTGGCTGTTCAAGATACATTTTTGCTGAGAGAAGCTGATTCTCTTGATTCATAACATAAGTATCTTTTTTACAAACCGACGTCCAATAGTAGACTTGTTCCTTTGTATGTACCTCTGAATCTATAAGGTTTTGTTGCTTGAGTCTTTTGTATACCTCTGTATTTCGCAAATTATAGCCAGCGTTTGCTTTTATCCATTCTTTTGCCTCATTAGGGAATAACACTTGTCGGTATGTTGGATGTTCATGTTGCATTTGATGATAAACATTGACAACGGCTCGTTTTTCTGTTATGTCTATAAATAACTTAATACTCCCAGCACAATCGTATCTCTGAATAGGTGCGCGAGTCTCACTCCGCCTTTTGACAGGCTGATCCTCTGGTCGCTGCCACGCTCGATCCTCCTGCATCGTGCATCCAAGATACATTTTGGTGGAATGCGTTAACTGCTTATGTCTTGTACATAAATATATGTTGTGTATTTCCCAATAGTAACCAGAAGCTGATTCAATCGGCCAAATGAGAAATTTGAAAAGTTCACGGAACTTGTCTTTAATCGCTTTTCTATCGTCAGCTAATTGTGGGATGCTTGAAGCGATGTCCATTAGCTCTGCATCCAACTCGATTTCGAAGGTATAATTAACTGGCTCGTTAAACGCTGTCGCTTGTCCAAACTGCCTTGAAATAACATTATATACTTCGTTTAATTCGTACAGGAGTGCATCAGGGTTATCCTCGATTTGAATGTTTGATTCATCAGCAATCTCACTTGATGTTAAATCTACGTTTGATTCTAAAGTGAAATTGCCAGTTTCAGGAAATAATTGAAGATCCGATAAACTATTATTGATATGTGATGTACTGGATGAGCTGCTACTCCGAGATAATGGTACATTTCTGTATTGATCGTTTTCCGTTTCTTTCGCCTTTCTCTTGCTT